AGCTCGTTTCGGCTCGTTAAGAACTTGAGTCGAGCTCGAGCTCGAGTCAAGTCCATTCAATTCGAGTATTTATCGAGCCTGATCGAGTCGATCTTGAGTAGCTCGCGATCTGTCTCGTCTTATTTACAGCCCTAGTGGTAGCCTTTATCGACACATTTCTTTGTTAGTTTGAAGACCATAGAATGATAGAAAATATGTACTTTTGAAACTCTTTCGTCGAGGATTGTGAAATATTTATTGTTAATATTTTTCTTGTAATATTACAAATATATTTTTAATACTATTATATTTTATTATAAACGTATGGTTTTATTTTCGCTCTCTAACCACAATATAAAGCCCGACATTTAGTTCCTTTTCATTCTTCGAACATTTATATTAAAATGAGAGAGAGATGCATTATTTCATTTCTTTTAAAAACTCCCTTTTTTCCCGTTCTTTTCTTTTTCTTTTTCACTTTCCTTTTCTTTTACTAGTATTAGCAGGTGAGTGTTCGATCGAGTCGAATCGAGTAAAAATTTTTCGAGTTATTCGATTTTACGAGTTCTATTTTATAACTCAGAGTTGACTTAAATTTTTTTCGATTCAAGCCTAGTTTATAAAATTTGATTCGAATCAAATCGATTTTTCGAGTTTATAAAACTCGCTTTTTCTCCGATCTTTTCTTTTACACTTTCCTTTTCTTTTACTAGTATGTGTCAAACATAGAATTAGAGTGGGTTCAAAAATGGGGTTAGAGTGGACCTACTGGGCTTTTGCATGTGATGGACATGATTGAGATGATGTATAGGTTGGAATGCATAGAGCATTAGGGTTTTACCCTTTAAGCATTTTATTAGTAGTGCAATTAGGCGTTGCATGAGATAATTGTCTCAAGTGAGGTTAAATAATTATCATCACGTGTAGGGATGAGTTTTGGATTAAGTTGAGTCAATAAATTTTGAGTTAATTAAATTGACGATTATAATTTTATATAATTTTTTGAATCGAGTTTAGTTATTTGAGTTTTTATTTAAATTTAATTATATTTATTTTATAATGTTATATTACAGATTCATTCTCATTTATTGACTTCCTCTAATCATATAAGATATATATAAATATTTTTATATCATTTTTTAGATTACATTGTTATTTAATATATCAAATACCATCTAAAATTATAAAAACATATTATAATATTATTTTCTAAAGAAAGAATTTTGAGAATAAAGTATTGATGAAAATGTAAAAAAAATAGAGTCAAAATTTATTTAAATAGAATATAAAATCGAGAAAATAATTTTAAAAATAGTAAATTTGTTGTTAAGAAAAGGAATTGAAGCTACAAATAATAATAGAGAGAAAGAAAGTTTCCACCTAGCAAATATACACACCGGAGTGAAAAGCGAAACCCATGATCCCATGGGCTTGTGGAGGCTGATAAAAGTATTCATTCGGCTCTGGGTCTTTATTGAAAGAAATTGGGCTAGTGAAGTTAGGTTCATTGTTGCCTGGTGGCCACACAACATGCGCAAAAGATGCAAATTGGCGATTTAAATTTGCTTAAATGGACAGACAAGTTTAAGTTGAAACCAGGTTTAGATTAATAAAATGCATGGGAAAAGATATGATAAGCTGGGGTTGAACTAAAGAAAATAACAAATGTAGCATAATCAGCTTGCAAATTGTATTCTATCGAGAAGATGACTGATGGCCAGGGAACGTTTTTAAGTTGATCAGGTGCTCAACTTATGACTTTATTTATGTTGATATTATATATGAGGTCACTGGTTTTATCATGTAGTTTTCCGCCTTAGACTGGACGAAGATGTCTGCGACTTTTGCCTGCTAAAGTACTTGAGAAATCTAGTTACATATTTCATATGGATACTAACTTTATCTGTTGATCATTCAAGGGCGTCAGCAGTGAGCTTTGCACATATGTTGGCAGTCATAGACGCAAAGTCCACCACAGTGAAGGGAGCAATCCAACATCATCCCTCTGCACCTTGTTCTAACCATGCATTCACCAAACTCTCCTACCCTATAATCCTCGTTGAAAACTCTCTTCCTATGCGCTTCATTTCTCCCAATCATGCCTTCATCTCTTCCACTTCCTTTGCCAGGTTTCTTCCCTCCCTCCACAACCCCATTTATACCAACCACCACCACCTCCTCCCCCCAACTCCTATATTCTTGTTGTTGGGCACTACTTGAGTGGAACTTTTATTACTTACTTCCACATTGTCTTCGAGCTTGAGGAAGAATTGGTATTGCTTTCAGCTTGAGCAGCAGTACCATTTTCCAACTCATCACCACTCAGACTATCAACTGCCACTGCTACAAAAAGGACAACCCGAAAACCATTTACAAAAGTCCTCATCCTTCGATCTCTACTCAGATGCAATTGTTGCCTAAACGTGCCTGAGTCCTGACCTATATATATACTCGGGTTTACATCAAAAGCTACTGCAACTACACCTACATTTGGTCCCACCAGACCCCGAATCCAAGGAAAACCCAAAACAACCAATTGCTGCTGTTTTCTTCCAAAAGGTTCTAAACATGGAGATGCCTTTGGGCAGACTTTGTCCCCACTTGCAACAGCAAATTACAATGTGAATAGTGCATGCAGGAAGCCTCAGAATTTACCCTCGCCCATTTGCACCTGTGCCACTCCGATAACTAACACGTACCCGATTATCAGTTCTGTTCAGGTCTTTGGGTGATTGAAGAAACATTGAAAAAGCATGTTAACTAAGGGCACCAATCCATCGAGGCAGATGTGTTCATGGCAGTCATAGCCTATCGAAAAGATTTTCAGCTTTTGTTTCCCAAATGCAGTGATCACGAACGACCTTTTTGATGAAAAAGTGGGAAATTACCAACAAACAAGCACTAATCTAGTGGGAGCTGGAAAAGAATAATATATACTTTTAGAAAGACCAAGAGAGTTGATATAATTAAAAAGCTGAGCAGAGTGGAACTAAATGATGTGGCAATCAATAATTCAGATTCAGGCTCAAGTTTTCTACCCGTTCCCTTAACCACCACCATCCATCTAGTGCTTATCCCAAGTCCCAACATTGATTTTGCTTTGCTTGATTCTCCGACACAATATTATAACCAACCCTTATATGTCTATAGATAATTGTCGTACTACGGGGTATTTGACAAACAGCTTTTTGAAGAGCTTTTAGTTTATTTGAATATAAATAATTGATTGATGGTCAAACCTTTCATTTGTTAGTGTTTGGTAAATACTTTTTTGAAAAATCTTATTGTATAAAATAAGTTGAAATGAAAACGTTAAAAAATCCAACAACTTGAAAGAGTTGATTGCAAAATAAAATATTAAATGATATATTTGACCTTATTTTTTGCCATAATTACATCTTACTATAAAACAAAATATAATAAAATAGCCTTCATCCTAATATATCTAGGTTGAAATTTTATTTTATTATTTTATTTTTTAGTTGTAGATTCTCAAATATATTTTAGTTAAGAAAATATAGCAAAACAAGAAAGTAAAAAAAATACATTGTTGATATTTTATACAAAGTTAATAGTATGTATCGATCTCAAAAATTATTATTTGTAAATATTAAATTGAAAAATATATTCAAAAATTTCAAAAATATTCACTAATTTTCTTAAGGATTTTTTAGTTCATCGTCAAAAGCATTTTATCTGAATAATTTCATCTCAATAAAGACTAAAGTATTATAAAATATATATGTACTTAACAACTAAATATATCATACCCTTATTTTTCATTTTACCCATATCACCTATGAGCTAAATTTTATCAAACACTTCTATATAAACAGTTAATCAAATCAGTTGGTCAAATCAACTATTGAAATCAGCTACCATAAGTTGTTTGCCAAACATCCCCTTTATTTTTTTTTCAAATAGATCTTTATTTGACTCAATAAAGATGAATTATATATATGTTTATTTATTGAACCCGATTGGGTTTGGTGCGACTTTTAACATAAGATTTTGAGTCAAATTTCAGATAGGATGAAACCTTAATATCAAGTTGTGTCAGATGTGAATGGAGGAATTTGAATTTTTTAAAAGTTAAATTTGAATAAACTAACCCATAACTATCCCTAATTGCATCTTTTATTTTACAAAAAAAAATATAATTAAATAATAAACGATCATATATCTATTATATTAATATCATTCATAATATCTAAAAATCCTGCTAACCATTTACTTATTATATTAATATTTCCGAGAAAAACTATTATATTGATATCATTCATAATATATAAAAATCCTGCAAACTATTTACCTATTAAAAAACAAGATCCTTCATGCATTATTATGGGTTTAATTAATCCTAACAATTTCTCACCAAACCATGACTCTCTCCTTTAAAAGTATAACATTTCCATTGAATGTAAAATTAAAGCATTTGGAGTTTGAAGGTTAAAAAAAAAATAGTAACTCCGCAACGGACATCCAATTTTTAGTTCGTAGGTGGCGGTTATGTTTGAAAGGCGGATATGGAGGCAAAGGCCATTGCATTTGCATTTTGCATTCTACGGTTTGGATTGCAATGCTGTACTGCTATCTTTCTCTTCCCAAAACCCAGTGTGGCGTCAGATAGACAGAGGAGAAGAAAGGAAAAGATTGCACTTATAATTGAGTTTGTCTTCGTTTTCCCTTCTCTACCTGTTTTCCATTTAGGATCACGGGGGGAAGATCTTCAAAGTTTGATTTTTTTCATTGCATTTGCATTTTGTTTTTCATTTCATTTCAAACTCCAACCGTTTGCTTGAATTGTCTGGGTTTTTTGTTCAAACAAAATATTTTTAATTTCTTCCGTTTTGATTTGAAAATTAAGCCGAGTTTGGTTGGAGCAACATCTGGGGGAAAAAGCTTATATTTCCTCTCCGTCGTCACGGTGAGCTTGAAGAATTTTTTGGTCTGGTTCCTGTTACCTTGAAATAAAAAGATACAAATTGCAGAGGAAAACAAAAAACTTAGGATAAGAGACAATGGGAGAAGAGTGGCAAATCCCAGAACAAGGAGAGAAAATTTTCGTTTCCATTAGATTAAGGCCACAGAATGATAAAGCAAGGAATCGTATATGTGATTGGGAATGCCCTGACAATCACACCATCGTTTTCAAGCATAGTTTGCCGGAACGCTCCATGTTCCCTGCCGCCTACACATTTGGTAAGCATCTCCAAATTCACTTGCTTCTGTTTTCACTTTGCCCATTTGAGACTTGAGATCGTCTTCTAATCATTGTATCGCTTTTTTCTTTTTGGTTTGCCAATTTTGTTGCCAACAGACAAAGTATTTGACAGTGAAAGCGATACAGCTCAAGTGTACGAAGGAGGAGCCAAACATATTGCGCTCTCAGTACTCGAGGGCATCAATTGTAAATACTCTTTGTTCCCTGTTCGTTGTGTCTATAACTATATAATCAAGAGAAAATGTTTCTGCTCATTGTGTTTTGTTTTTCCTTCAGCAAGCATATTTGCATATGGGCAAACAAGCAGTGGAAAGACATATACAATGAGGGGTATCACTGAATATGCAGTATCGGATATATACGACTACATTGAGAACGTAACGATAGACTTGGCATTACGTTTTCTCATATATATTTATATTTGAAATCTACCTGTTCTGTTTCTTGAGAGTGTAGAATATATATAGATGACATTTTGTTTTGATCTAATATGTTAGAATGGGGAAAGAGACTTTGTGGTGAAATTCTGTGCCATGGAAATATACAATGAAGCCGTGAGAGACTTACTTAGCCCTGATAGTTACCCACTAAGAGTGCTAGATGATCCCGAGGTAACAGATTTCTCCCTTCTTAATGCTTCCCGGTCATCGTTTTGCACGATCATAAGTGTTTTACGACATTGTTGTCACTCAACAGAGGGGAACCGTTGTGGAGAAACTTACTGAGGTGACTCTAAGAAACAGGGAACATCTTCTCGAGCTCCTTGCAATATGTGAAGGTGAAATATTTTCATGGACTTGCATTTGCATATGATTTCTTTGGTTTTTTTTTAACTAGATGACATTATATTATGCATTTCGGTATGGATTTACCAGCTCAAAGGCAGATAGGAGAGACATCCATGAATGAAACTAGCTCAAGATCACATCAGATTTTGCGGCTGGTAGGCATGATTACTTGAGTAAACTTTCTTCATCAGAGTTGGTCCTAGTCTTACTTCTATATTCAACGATGCAATCTTGCAGTCCATTGAAAGCTGTGCTCGTGAATATGCTGGACCTGGAAATTCAAGCATTCTTGCAGCTTCTGTGGTATGATACTATTAACGTACTGAAAGGCATTGGAGTTATATTATATGGAAACATTGAATTCATAGGCAACATTATTCAAGAGTGAATTAGTAAGTAGTAAGGTTAACCTTTAACGAGGGAAAATGACTTGGTCTTCTTGTATAGAATTTTGTTGATTTAGCAGGAAGTGAGAGAGCTTCTCAGATCTTATCTGCGGGTACAAGATTGAAAGAAGGCTGCCATATAAACCGGAGTTTACTAACTCTTGGGACGGTGATTCGCAAATTAAGGTTGAACGGTTCACATATGTGGGTCTTTAATTCGTTATAAACATGACATTCTGACCTATTAACTGGCACGATACGTTGCAGTAAGGGAGGAACTGGCCACATACCTTATAGAGACTCTAAGTTGACACGCATACTCCAGAACACTTTAGGAGGAAATGCCAGAACAGCCATCATTTGTACTATGAGTCCTGAACGTGTTCATGTTGAGCAATCAAGAAACACACTCTTGTTTGCAAACTGTGCTAAGCAGGTAAGAACTAATGCACATGTCAATTCAGTTACGTCGGATAAGGCACTGGTAAAGCAATTACAAAGAGAATTGGCTATACTCGAGAACGAAATGAGGAGCTTGGGATCATCTTCAGTTAAAGGTGATACTGCTGATGTGCTGAGAGAGAAAGAGCAACTTATTGGGAAGGTGATTGAACGAACTTCAGAAAGCTGTTTCATACATGCCCTCGCTTAAATGGCTTACTCTTGTTAATCTGGACTTTTTATTTTCTTTTTCTAATCTGAGTATCTATAGATGGCTAAAGAGATAGAAGTATTGACTTGGCAACGTGATCTTGCTCAGTCGCGAGTTGCAAATTTGCTACTGTCAGTTAGAGAAGTTCAAATGTTAAAGCAATCATCAAATTCATCAGAAGTGGCCAAGGCTCCATGTATAGTTGATTCCAGCAAACACGAGGATACAGTTACACCTAGTGCCAACAACGAATATCTTGGGCTAGCTGAGAATCCTGAAGAGAATTTTCTACTTGACGGCATGACTCCGAAGTTTCTTGTGCCTGAGCCATGCAAAGGTTGGGAGGTCTCTGAAAAACTGGATCAAGAATTTGAAGATAGCTGCAAGGACGTTCAATGCGTTGAAATTGAAGACTCAATAAATACAATGGATGAACAGGAAGGAAAACTGACCACGACCGAGGTTCTTCACCAGAAAACGGGAACTGATGAAAGTGATGACTTCTCCCCTGATCCTGAGGAAAAACAAGGAAAAATAGACATGGTTATTACTACTAATACTGATGTAGTATCATCACCAGAAAAGGAAGATTTGCAGTCAAGTCCTGTGTATAATGATGAAACTTACAAGGCTTTGAAACAAAAAATTCAGGAACTGCAAAGGACAGTCAATTTTCTTATCAACACTCAACATCAAGACCAGTCACCTAGCTTCTCACATACATCTAGCTCTTGCGGTAGGAACTTGGGCAGAAGCCAAAGCTGCAGGGCGGTTGTCACAACTGTGCCATCTTCAGCTTACTTCGAGAAGACAACACATAATCAAAGCACACCCCCTTCCACTGGGGTTGAAAAGGACTTCCTTGAAAGATCAAGGCACCTTCATCAAATGCTTTCTGAAGTGAACTATGACAACAGAAGCGAAAATATATCCAGTAGACATTCTCGAACTTCTTCATTTAGTGGCTACGGCTATGGGGAAACATTAAATCTTAAAGATTTAGATATGGAAGACACTTCCAGTGAAACTAATTTTCATCCACCACCTTGGAAGCCAATTAGCGATGATCCTTCGAAAAGAATTTCTACCTCTACTGCTTCAGCAGCTGGTGGCAGTGAAACGAAGCAGCTCTCAGAAAAGCAAATTGATAACAAGGTGAGAAGATGAACCTCCTGCCTCTATTTTATTTTTCTCATTTCTAGAATGAAATCAATCATTCATATTAGCTTTTATAGTTTTTTTTTCTGGTTACAGCTTTTATAGTTTCATTTCTTACATTATAGTAACTTCTTTTTATATGACTGGGTTCTCATCAGTTATATTCTGTAAAAATGGATGCGTGACCTTGGAATAAGAATTTTGATAACTGGAAACTAACATTGTTTTCTTTTTCCATGGAATGTTTAAGGAGGATATAATGAAGGCAGACTCAGAATTCGAGGAGAAGCAGAGAAAGATAGTTGAACTTTGGGATACATACCATGTATCATTAATCCACAGAAGCTATTTCATCCAACTTTTCAAAGGTGATCCTTCCGATTGTTTGTATTTGGAGATAGAGCTCAGGAGATTGACATTCCTTAAGGACTCGTTGTCAAACGCAACAGCTTCAAGGTAAATTTAAGATTTCCATAACTGCACATTCAGGCATAGGCATATGCTCTTGGAATTAAAGAGCTTTTAGGAATTGATTTATCTTCAATGCAAATGCAAATGCTGCTAGAAATGATTTCTTCTCTCTGTTTCTGGTGACAGTGAGAAGGAACTGATTCGAGAGAGGGGGATGTTGAGCAAGCAAATACGGAGTAAGTTGTCAACTAAGCAGAGAGAGGAAGTGTATAAGAAGTGGGGAATTGATTTGAACACAAAGCAGAGGAGCGTACAATTAGCACATCTTGTATGGTCAGACACCAAGGACATGGTCCATGTGAAGGAGAGTGCTGCTCTTATTGCCAAGTTGATAGGATTTGAGAATCGAGACCCCAATGAGGGAGTTGGCCTCTGCCTTTTGCCCCCTTTTTTATCCCGAAGATCTCACAGCTGGAGGCTTAGCCTCCCTTCCCTCTTTTAGAAGTCGTTTGAAGATAAGAGTGAATTAATCTAGATTGACTAACATATATTCTCATCTCTACCTCCCGACTCCTGCTTGTAAATTCAAAAGGTGTATAAAGTTAACCAGACTTTAGTTGCAGATTCATTTTGATTCTTTCTTTGCTCTTTATTGTTTTCTGTAACAAACACATAATAATGGAATGAAGGAATATCTTTCAAATTAGTATGGTTTGGTTTCCACTCCTAACTTACGCCATTTTCATGCTCAACCAGAGGCATAGCAATGGCTCACGAACTCTAATAATTAAACAAGAAAACCAGAAACGGAGGTTGGTTCAACCCTAAGTTGAACTTCTTGCATGACCGGAAAATGCAATGCACAAAATTTTAAAAAAAGTAGCTACAAAAAAGGCAACCACTGATATCCGCATTGAAGCTTTCAGCTTTTTTATGCTTTACCTTATTACCTAAGATTTGTAGACAGATCCTAAGTGATTTTCCAGCCTGACTTGGAACAGGACATCTCATATTTCGTGGTGTAGGATAGTACATTAGAGGCATTGTTCTCCGGGTGATGAATATCAGTCAAGCGTGTGGACTCCTCCAGAGCTGCTTCGACTCTCGCTGCCCATCCTATGAAAGAGCAATTTCAGCCGCACGATCCGTCCATGTCTTCAACATTTGACCATCCAGAACCTGTCAGTTTTCTCAGTGTTAGAAAAAACTTGAGACACACAGTCCTACTGAAGCCTTCAAAATTCCTTGAAAGCTATCTACTAACTATGTTCAGCTGAATCACACAAATTAACACATAAAACTCTACATAACCAGCTATCCCAAAATAAAGTGAGTCCCATTTGTAGGGCAGTTTTCAAGATTTATATACGAGGAACTTGCATAGAAGAAAATGAAAATTACAGCATATTACCTCTGGCAATTTATCAAGATGGTGATCGGGTCCAAACGCCTCAGATTTAATGTTCTGTCACTTGCGAACAATGCTTTCTGCAATTCTTGCATCCATTCTAGGTAATTCTTGCAAAGAATTTTCATCTATTAACCCTACAAAGGTTAAAGCAGTTTTGAGCACCAATAAACATGGGAAACCAGGAAAACCTTAAAGGATTTGACAAACTTGGACATGCCTTACTTGTTTAGAGGGGAAAACAATCCTGTCTCCTACCAACTTTGACAATATAATAGAAAACAGGTGCAGTAGTAGCCATACAAATAACATGGCTAAAATTAAAGGATTCATAATTAACAACCACCAAGTCCAAAGCTACTCTTAGAAGAAACTTCAAGCATTTGATAAAGCTACATTAGGTTGACTAGTCACTTGTTTACTATATGTATTATCAAGTCATACCTGCATTGATGACATCAGTCGCCATAGCTGGACTGATTTCTTTACCATTCACTGATGAACTAGATCTGCCAGGTAAAAACTTCAAGCCAACCAACGTCATCACTCCAATTACCACACCGGCAGACATGATCTTCATACTAACATCTTTAATTTTCTCAATTATTGTTTGTTTTTCTTCATACATTTCTTCCAAGCTACTTATCCTAGGAACCTCAGCTAGCATGGCAGAATCCTTTTGATCAGGTTTCCTCAGAGTCTCCTCGTTTTCAACAGGAAAAAAGTTGTTTGCCTCACCATCTAATTGATGTCTCACGCTCTCTTTTGAGCGACGAAGAGGAAACACCTTCTGCAATGCCTGAATTGAACTAACCTTTACATGATCAAGAACTGCAGTAGCCTCTGTGCCTATCCTCACTATAGCTGCGGCTGCAGCCAAGGGTGAACTACCCATTCCCTCGAGCTTTTCTAAATATCTGAGGACAGTAGGATCATCATAATAATCTCCAAGCTTGAATTACATATCTTTTGTGTCTCTAAATCTGGGGAAAACCACCTCCAGTAGCCATGCCTCCAACAGTTTGCAAAGGCCAGGAAGATATCTGTCATCATCATCCTTTGTATTTTCCAAGAAAAAATATACAATAGATGGATTCTGTAAGGGGAGCTACCACTGTCTAGGCCCAACCACAAGCGGCACTCTTCAAGCTCCCCTACAAGTAATGAACAGAGACCCCTCTCCAATGCAAAGTCTATCTCACGGTTCCCAATGGGAGCATAGTGAGAGATACTGTTCTCTAGAGTTGTTAAGTCTGCTGAAGCTGCTGGAAGAGGTTATCAGCATCTCTGATGAGATGAGGTTTCTTGTTTAGAAATGCTTGAGCAATAAGTGCATGTACAAACGCTTACATTTTTAATAAGGCTAAATTACACGAATCAATACTATGCTTTATTTCTTATTTCATTCACTATACTTTAAAATTAGTCAATTTCATCATTAAATTTAATATAATTGACAAATTTGATCATTCAACAGTTTCCCCACAAACGACTTTATGATGTGTTTTTTAAAATTATTTTTTAGTTAAACAATATTATTTTATTAATTCTTTCTTCTTCTTTACTCCTATCTCTCCCTTTCATTTCCAGAAACCCATCTCTCTTACAATCCATCATCTCCGGCCAACGGTGGCTTGCACCACCGCCACCAGCAGTCTCGGTGTCACCTCTCGAGTAAACCCCAACCGTCAGCTACCCAAAATCGATCGTCAAAACGTAGCAAATTGTGAGAAAGTCGCTCGACACCCTTCATCATTGATCTCGGTCACTGTTCGTCGATGAGGGTCACCGCCTATGGCATCAGAAGCGTCTTCATGCTCCGGTATAACCTCTACTGACCCCGCTCCGTGAAGTGTCACCATTCGCCGTCGAGGACTGATCGAAGTTTCGTAAAAAACCCATAACGACGCCACTGCTGTTTTTTGCGATTTTCGGCTAATTCTGTCTCCTTTGCACCTCACCACCTTCACCAATGAGTTCCTTGTTCAGTTCAGACCGAAACCCAGTGGTAGTGTTCCTTCCCCGTCGCTCTATCATCTTACGTCTTACCTCCGCCCTGGGTAAGTTTTCAGTTAGCTATGGAAAGAGGAGGGGTGATGGGGAAGATGGCGTAGCATTCTGTTAGTCGGGGCTAACAACTCAGTGACCCAAAAACTAATTTTATTAAGTATAATGAGCAAAAATGTTAAATGTATAAAGTTCAATGAGAAAATTGAATGGATTTAAAGTACAGTTAGTGAAATAGAAAATAAAGCAAAGTGCAGTGATGGTCCTTGTAATTTACCCTTTTAATAAAGCCATATACTTGTCCTTCTAATGAGTGATTTGAGTTAAATTTTCAATAGCAGGAAAGATGAGTAAATGAGTACATTAGAAAGCGGGAAATGCTATTCAATAACAACTACTATTCCTAGCGGGTGACATTCTGCACATCAACATGGGTTTTCTTTTGTCTCTACACACCAATTTCTTAAACCAATAAGATTGTTTGTTCAATTTTGAACTTCTGCCCACACAGAAAATGCATTCTGAATTAGAGAAAACAAAACAAGTATGTCTTTCATGTGTAATTGACTCATCTACAATGATATCTCTTTCTATGTTTCTTTTATGAATTTACACCTCTTAAATCAAAGTTTGATTATTCTCATCCAACAATTCAATGGCATCCTTATTTATAAATAAAATATTATTTCAATACTTGAATTTTACATTACATCAATCTCTAAATTCGATTAATCATTATGGTCATCGATGACGGTAAGACTTCAAAATTTTCAGCCCATTCTTTTTTTAACCTCTCAATGAAAATCCAATAACTTTTTTTTATTGAAAAAATACCTTAGACTCCACAAATCTAATCTAAAATCTTTCAACTATCTTTAAATTAAACTAAAATTTTTATACACAAAACCGTTTTTTATTCTGAAATTAATCTAATAATTTTGAATAAATTAAAATATTAAATACAACATGATATAATAATATTCATCATCATGGATATTTGCATTCCCTTAAGAAATGACATGGCTCGCACCGTTTTGACATTAAACGTTTACACCTTTAGTGTTCTCAGTGCTCAAACCCCAAAAATAATAACAATTTCTTTACCATCAAAATCGTTTAGTCCGTGCTTAAGAAACCCAAGTAAAGCTTAATAATTAGGGCTCTATCGCGTTGGATGGATTCTGGTACGGAATCTAAAGAAGCCAAAATCATTGTGGGGGAGGCATATCCAAGTCTACTACACTCATGTAGGAATGGCAACGGACTGGGTTCGGGTCGGGTATTGGTCTTCCGTCTCTGTCCCTGTTTAAAAAACTTGTATCCGTCTCCGTTTAAAAAACCGTGGAGATTTAAACGGAGATCCACATCGGGTAATCGGGAAAAATCGCGGGAAATGGATATCCCCATTTAGCATAAACGGTTATTTAAACGGGTATCGGGCCGGGTATATATATTTAAATTAAATATATAAATATTATATATATATTTTAATTTAAATTAAATTTATTAATATTATATATATATATATATATATATTATTTTTAATATTTATCGGGCCGGGTATCGGGTCGGGTAATCGGATAATCGGTGCGGGAATTACTAAACCCGTCTCCGTTTAACATAAACGGTTTTCTCCATCTCCGTCCCCGTTTAGCATAAACGATTTTTTCCGTCCCCGTTTAATTCGATTTTTGATTTTTTCCATCGGGTTCGAATTTTTTTACCATCCCTATAGTCAGGATCATTTCGGCAACTACGGTACGGTTTTGTGGTTCAAATATACCTGGTTACCTACAGACACACTACAACTTTAGGCTTTAGCCCTTCGTAATTTTGGCTCTTTTTTTATATCAATCTTCTTCAGTTGATATGAAGCTTTTCATGACACCCATGTTATTCTTGGGAGAAGGGTTTCTTCAAAGCTTTACATCCTTGTTTATGCAGGATTACTCTGTTTTGCTAAGGAAACAAATTGTCGAGTTAAAATCTTAAATCGTTTAGAACATGGATAGCATTTAATTTCGGCTTGTAAATGCACTCTTCATGTATTGATTTTTAAAGGGTAAACTACATAATTGATCATTTTTATTTCAGTTTTATAAATGTATGATCATTCGATTCAAGAAACATAATTCGTAGTCACTTTCGTTTTGTTTCAATTTTTACTTCCGTTAGTTTAATAACGTGACAAGCTAGTAAAAGGGTTTAATTTTTACTTTAACATCTGGACTTTAGATAAAATACTAATTAGAGACTATTTTATAAAGTTAAAATAATTTAGGGACAGAGTTCTAATTTACCTTTTTATATGTTTTCTTCCCAACCCCATTTTATAACCCTTGAACTTGTCAACCTCAATTCATATACCGAAACCCTGATAAAAACAAGCACTTTGCAAGGCAAGATGCTTCTTTTATCATGAAACGTAAGCGGAAAGACCTCTTCTCCAGTGGTGATCTTCCAACATCCATTGTGGAAATATCCATCGCATCGTTTATCAAGGTCGACAGTACATTGCTGGTCTTCATCGACGATAATCCGTTAATCATTACTCAAATTTCTACCTTGCATCATTGAAATCAAGCCTAAGATCGAGTGCATAGGCCTCCTTATTCCATCACTCATTGCCTTCTGAAACGCACTTCTAGCTTGGCTTACCCTTATAGAATTCTCCCTCGAAAGCTGTAATGCAGGATTTTGCTCAGCAAGTTTCTCCCTCATGAGTTGGGACTCTTCGAGAACCGCAGCATTAGAAATTGCGACGGCCACCTGATCAGCAACCACCTTAACTATCTCTAGTTCCTTGTTCTCTTGGAAGAACACATACCAGTATGGAATAGTATGCCTGAACTTGCTCGGGAGTTCTACCTTTAAAATTGCATATACGAAGCATTGGCAACCGGATTGCAGCCACCTGTCCTGGCTCAAGCTCTCCACACGTTAAAATGGCAAGCGCTGAGTCTAGCTTGAGGATATGCACTCCATCAATTCTTTTAATCCACGCAACATCCGAATAAGTGATGGGAATGATAAAATTATACGAAAAGTTCCTTCTTTTGAGATCATGAGTCAAGCTCCGTCTTGATCTCGTTGGGCATCCAAACAGCACAGTTTTACAAACCTAATGTCTTGGACAGCTCCACCATTGTTGTGTACAAAATGTTATACCTATCCAACGATTTACGGATCTCTTGAGTAAGCATACGGACATGCAAACCAGTCTTTGTTCGTTGACAGTTGCGTTCGTAGTAGTGACCACTGATGAAAGGTGGCCGACAACGTGAGATTAGGTCTACTAAGGTCACGACTGTAGAGAAGAGAGGGGTGTGTGGATGTGGTTGGGAAGAAAACATATAAAAAAGGGTATATTAGAACTTTATCCCTAAATTACTTTGAATTTATAAAATAATTCGTAATTAGTATTTTATCTAAAGTTCAGAGTAAAAATTAAACTCTTTTACTAACATACCACATCATCAAACTAACAAAAGTCAACATTTCAATGACCACATCTTAATTAAAAGAATACAAAAGTGACTACGAATTATGTTTTTCGAATCGAGTGACCATGCATTTATAAAACTAAAATAAAAGTGACTAACTTTGTAGTTTAGCCAATTTTAAATTTAAGCTTAAAAGTCTAATTTATCCCAGAACTAAACCTAAACCAGTAATTTAAAATTTAAGCCAGTAATTAGATTCAAGATACTATCCAGCACCCAGTAGGTACATATATACACATCCGTGTACAGAAATTAAACATACTTCCTCCTATGCTGATATCAAAGAATTTTCTGACCAATGAATACAACATTCGTGTGCAGAAATTAAAACATACTCCCTCCTATGCTGATATCAAACCCTCTGGTAGGGTTCGTCATCAGGGTGAGGTAAAAGAAATCTCCTACAGGCATGTAACACAGCTGAATGGAATCCATCTTTATTTTCAAGGAACACAAAATGGCCAGCCTGCATATGAGGGGAAATAAATATGAGGAGCCTAACGGGAATGATAGCATTTTGGATTTACAATTAATGTATTCAAGGTTTTAAAATAAAAGCTCTTTTGTTGGTGTTTTTGGGCGGGGGGGATTAAAAAAATGTCTTTGGCAGATTGCCCACAAGTTTTTTTTTCTTATATATTGCGAAAGTAAACAGACCTGAGGAACCCTGATAATTTCACATGGGACCTTCATTTGCTTGCAGGCTGCTTGGGCTCCTTGGTAGTCCCATATATAAAAGTAGTTGGCACTTTCACTCGTATGCACTGTTCACAAATATATTATAAAAATAATGCGGTTATTCAATAATATCTTCCAAACACCTGGAATCTTCATTCTTAGTAGATTGCAACACTGATCTACTCTAGATAGTGGCTCACATGACTTCCATATCAGTCAGTTCAAAATTCTAAAATGTGCTATACGTTTGAACTAGTGAGCGTTACATTTATTTGTTTTATTTTTTCATCAATGATTTGGAAGTGTGGTCTAGGTTCGAAAAGGTGCACAAGCCAATTAGATGCTAATTGCATGTGCCCAAAGTTCGTTCTATTACTTTTTCTCCTCGGCAGGAAAAAGAAATAGAGATAAATCTTGACCTTGAACGATGCACGTGTTTCCCCAGCAGGAGAAAAATATGTAAATTGCTCTCTACTGAGTTCTCAAATCAAAGTGAGATATTGTACACACCTAAGATTTGGACAAAATCTTGATTGATATAAACATAGGCAGGTATCTTGATAACTAAAACAGAGAAATAATAGATCGTATTAGTCGCAAGTCACATATATCGAACAAAATTTAAAAAAGGTCAACAAACACTTTTGTTGAAACAATGATTGAGGTTAATAAAGCAGGGTTTCAAACCTGTTTAAAAGGGGTGACCGAGCAAAATGCACCGAATGCAAATATAAAGTTCAAGCAGAGCTCTCCACTTGCTTTGGCAGCTGAGATATGGTAAACATAATCTTCAACAAGGAAGAACAGGGAAAAACAACCGTTATACATTTATTATTTGTTAATATAAGAGCTACACACAAAATCAAAAAAATTTTGCAATACCAGATAGAGGTCTAGACTCCTCCTCTGTAAATACACCCTCTGCTGAATATTGGGGACTAAACCTAGCAGATGTATACTTGCGTACAAGATCTGGACCCCAAGGACCTAAGCCTTTGCATAAAGAATCATCCAATAAATGTTTAAAAGTAGTAAATTAAACTAATTCATGAAAAATGCAATTAAAGACGAGAGAACTAATGGAAATGAATTAAACAAATAGGAGTATGAGGACTTGACACCAACTCATAAGAACAAAGAAGATCTACAAATCTATTCAAATAACAGTTTAAGATAGAAGTAACCTACACAAAAGATGTATGATTGAAAAATAACCTACAAAAGAACCAACGAAAAGATCACTGATTCTTCTCAATAGCAATAGGTTAGCAAGGATCAACTTAGAAAGAACAAATTCTTCCATTGGAAAGAATAAACCTACTAGAAACATTTAGAGCATACTGCATACTAATATTGTTTCGGCAGACCAATTCAGGGAAACGTTTAATAGCAAAGCTCGATTTGTGAGTAAGGCTAACAAAATAGAACCAGACAATTACAAACCTTATAATCTTCTGAGGGTAAAATTGGATTCCCACAAATGACTCAAAATTATCCCCTTCCATACCATGTTGCTCTGAAGCGGTTTACCCACTCATATTTTTCTTCTGACCCTGATGAAAATCCAGCAGCCCCCACTAAAATTAAGTGTTGAACATGTTCCGGATGCTACAAGATTAACACAAGGGACATTAACATTAGAATAAAAAACATGGTATCAAACTATTTGTTGCATTCAAACATTTAACATTTAAAGGCAAATCACCTTGAGAACATATTTAGCTGCAACATATCCTCCAAATGAATGCCTAAGTAATATAAAGTTGGTCTAGTGGGATGAGGCACTAGGTCCCTTAAGCAAGGTCAGGGGTTCGAATCCTAACGTTTGCGAATGGAGCAAACTGGGTTGAAAAGGTCGCCCTCGCCTCTGCAGTACCCGATCTGGATTAGTCGGTCAATATATCATATACCAGTGATTAATTCAAAAAAATAAACCATGCCTCAGTTTCTGCATCATAACACACCATACGTGAATTCTGCTAGTTCGATCAACTTTTGATGAGTGAAGCGGGCCAAAGGGATTATTAGCATTCTGTTCACTGACCTTCAGTGCTAGTGCATGTAAAATCAGGCCTACTTGATCCACCCCAGTTGAATGAAAAGGTGAAGAAAGAATAAGACAATATAATAGAATGTTGATTTCAAGTGCAAAAATACAAAATTGCAATAAAGAAGATAATTGTTTAAATCAGGACCGGGTAGTAAAGCATAAACAATTTCGTGAACTGAAAATCAAGCCAAATTCATAGCCTTGAGACAAAAGGAGCATACCCTAGCTGATCGATACCAATGACCTTGAACCGATTGGTGAGATAGTCAAAATTCTTGAAAAAGAAACCTTGAGAAGCACGTATCCATGGACCATAACAAGTGTGGGAGAGCCCTCCTTGCTATCAAAGGTAACTGTGTTTATTAACCTCGGCTCGTTACTCGTAGAAAGAAACCACCTAACTGAAGAACCAGGCAGACCTGAACCTATATTCACTAGTTCTTGCACGTATGGCGTCCTGAAATTTCAATAGCCCATTCAAATCTGTCGAGTTCCTATCGAAGTTTCCTCCAAAATCAAGATAATTAATTTATATAATTAATATAAATTATTATCAAATTAAAAACGAAAAAAAAAGAATAATTGAGATCCAAAGAAGCTTGCTATTTAAGTCCCGGCTATTCCAAGCTCAAAACTGGAGAACCCTAACAAAGGCGATAAGAATAAGGAATCGTAGGTGGCGATAAGAATAAGGAATCGTAGGTTCACTTACTTGACGAGAGAGAGAGAGAGAAGTCGTTTCTCGGAGGCGATGATGTGATCGGTGGAAGTAGGAATCCTACGGAGCACAGAGGGCCATAACGACCTGGATTTCGCTATAATCGAAGATGATGATAGGAGCTCGGGTTTGTTCATTTCTTCGACCATTTTTCTTAAAATTAAGCTGGACCAACGACAGGAAGACTGGTTCATAAGATAATAGATTATTACTCTCAACAATACAACATTTTCTTTCGTTTTTATACTCCAAAGCTTTGATTTTTATTAAATTATCGAAAACAGAACTATTCAGAATCAATAAGAGAGTGAGAATTCGTGAATATTTTGTTGCTAATAAAAGGAAAATTATTTGGGGTCAATGGGCTACGGACACTTCTAGAATTGTCGATGTGGGCTCAGTGCAAGCTACAATTCTACAAGTTTTACGCAAGGGAAACGGCAAGTCATAAATATTGTGAAGAAAACGCTCAGTGCCTCGAGTACAAATACATAAAATCCCTGGCGCTGCAAGTGCGGTCTGCAGCAGTGAATCCAGCAGGGGCAACTCCTGCAACGATGATTTTCCTTCCTCCCTCTGAATTTCCCTCAGATGGATCAGCACTTGGAACCTGCAAACTAGTCATTCCAGGGTTTAGTTTTACATTGATGCTGCTGTTTTGCTATCACTTGGACATTCTCCTTTCTCTTTCACATATTTTAGTTCTGGTATGATTGAATCAATCTAAACTTCACGTATTGTAGCTTCATATACCTGCCTTTGATCATCGATCCTAACACTACTTTTTGCCTCAATAGAAGAAGCTTCAGAAGATCCACTGAATCCAACCCTCAATTTTCTCTCTCTAGAAGTTTGTAGTTCTACCTAATTTTTATTTCTTGGAAGCAACTCAAAAGTTCATATACCCCTGCAAAAATGATGTTAGCATCTTATTTTCTACCAAACTTCACGATCAACATTAAGCACACGCCAAAAGTTCATATACACCCTCAGCCCCTAAACTAAAATGATGCTTACTCGATTGAATACCACGAAAATGAAAGACTCAGAAAGATCCTTTTTTAACATCTCAGAGTTACGATTCCCGGACTGATGCAGGATGACACTGTGAGTTATCTCCCCTGTGATTTATCTGTTCAACTTTGACACCTGCTAAAATCGTCATCATTGTTCAAGTGATGATGCATCAGCCATCAATGAAGCAGATAAGGGCCATAATGGAGGAAACGGAAGGAGAAATTCAAGAACGGAATTGAGTGCTTTATTGCCTAGAGAGATGTCATTCTTACAACAAGATGCAACAATTGCTAAGCGAAATAGTTTGGGATAACTCGTTGGCATTTATCTTTGGTCCACCCGTAGCATTAAATTACAGTTGTGCTATCTGTTGCAATGTTACAATTGTGAATGTTACAGACGTTTATGATTTGATTTGTTTCTCAAAATTCATAATATTTCTAAATTTCAAATACATTTACACCTGTTGTAGTGACTTGAAAATCAGAACATAGGTCCACCAGGGTTCCAAATCTCGAGCGGGGTGAAGAACAGTCAACACCCACCGCAGAATGTTAAGCATCTGCCTCATATAGGCGAGACACCATACTATTCAAAGGAAATGCATTCGACTGAAGCCCTACAATGACAACAAGTAAAGACAAGGTAAACGAGCAAAAGAGGACAAGGTAAATTGCATCTAACTTGAGAGAGCCTCAAAACCTACTAAAAAGGTGAAACGAGAGAATGAGGGCCTGAATATGAACTTGTTAGGAAGCCGACGAGAGGGAGGCCGCCGGACAAGATGTGGACGGTGGTGGTTGTGGATCGTGATATGATTTCAACAAACATGTGGTCACGACAGAGTCTGATTGGAAAGCGTTTTCAACAAGCTGCTTCCACAGCTCGGGGCTGAAGGCCATGATTCCTGTTTATCTTGATGACAATTTGGCCAAGCATATGTTTCAAGTTTTGCGTTTTGGTCCTTAATTCCAGTTTTTATGTACCACTACAAGTCTAAATTCTGTTTCAGAACGACTGAATGCTAAGGCTTTTTGTTTATGCCTTTTTCTCATCTGTAAATCCAAAATCTGAATTTATAAACTGAAAATGTTTCTCTGGAGCACAAACAAAAGCAATGAGGGCAGACATGCAGAGTTCCGAAAATAAAACCGTCTGAAAAACCAAAGTTGGTCGGTCTGTGTCAGATAACAAGATGTCATCACAACGAAACAAATCAGCCAGGGATAACTGTATTCAATGTTTTCTCATCATACACAGAACTGTTTCAGTTCAAAAGTTTTTCAAAGAAATCATGTACAATCAATTGAACTGCATTTCAAAAGCTCTAGCCATTGGCTAGTAGTATTACATTGGTAGGACTGAAAAAAAAACAACACAAGATAAAAATTCAAAGCTCTGCGTCAGATTTCAAAGATATCAGCACTTAAAAAATAATAATCAGACAGGGATAACTGTATATTTCAATCTATCTTCATCCGCAGCAGTTAAAAATAGCAGATAAAAACAAATATATAAAAAAAAGAGGCATCAGATCTTCCTATTCAAATGAACCAATCTTGACACTCGATATCAATTTTCGAGTATTCAGCAATTATAATATTCATCATTGCCTTCCATTTGATATAAAAGCATAAAACAGGAACGGAAAACAATAAACTTACGAGGAGAAAACTACAAAAATTAAAAATAAAAGAAGAAGATGGTTGGTTGAATGAATCCCTAAGACCTAGTACAAAGTATGAAGTATAAAGCATAAGCCAAGGCGTGGAAGAGCAAAGACGGCTGAGGCGGTCAAATGTTATTTAGGGTTTCAGCAGCGATGTGGTTTCTACTTTCTCGAATGCCGACCACGTTATATAGCCGCTTCTCGGTCCGTTTCGGGCGGGGAGTGGAGAGTCATCAAATTAACGAAGCTTGAATTGGGCATTTGAATACGGACTTTCTTAGTCCTGGGCCTAACAAACTACGCCTAAACTCTGTAGGAGTAAACTTTCTTCTAGGAAACTTATGAGGAAAAATCTATGTTTGTTGCAAGAGTTAATTGCGTAGGAGCCAGTCCGTTTATGAGATTTTGGTGGCTTTAGGCCGAACAAAAAAATTAGGTCTCTAATTAAAATTTTAAATTATAGTTTAAATTTATCTTCGATTGCGTTGTATTTATTACTATTATAGATATAACGGATGATATTACAGTCACTATAAATATCGTAGTTGTGAATTTTTAATAACATATGATATTATGGACATAGATATTATGGATATCGCGATTTTGGACGATATCATTACAACCACATAATGATTGTTGTTGTGGTTGCATACCATTTTTAAGTAGTTGGTCCTAATAACAAATGTTAAAAAAAATAAATTTTAAGGGTAACTCCATATAATAAGCATTGAAAAAATTGGTCTCTAATAAATATTGTAAAAACATAAATTTTAAGAATATGCTCATAATAATAAATATTGAAAAAAAATGGACTTCTAACAAAAAGTATTGAAAAAATTAGACTCATAATAATAGCAAATAAATTTTAGAAAAGAAACTAAAGTTTAGAAGTATGCCCCTAATAAAAAAATATCGAAGCAATTAAGCCCCTAATAACAAGTATTAAAAAAATTGGACCCTTAATAATAAATGTTAAAAAATATTGGTAAAAAATTAGACACTAATACAAATATTAAGGAAAAATAAACTATAAGAATAGACTCTACTAATAAATATTAGGAAATATGAACCTATAATAATAAGTATTAAAATAGAATTAGATCCTCAATAACAAATATTTAAAATAATTGAGCCCCGTATTTTATATAAATCTATTTTTTATTAATATAATATATTATAGAAATTCTGGACCCTGGGCAAGTGCCCCTCTTGCCCATGTCTAGATACAACCCTAGTAGGGGGTCCCAAACCATGACTAATATTAAATTAATTTTAAAATTTTAAAATATTTATATTAGTCCCTAAATTATGATCTGATTCTAAATTTATATTTAAATTTTGTAATATTTTATATCAATATTTAATTATCGATATCATTTCATTTTGATATTTTATTCATGTGTATTTAATTTTACTAATTAAAAAAATCAATATATTTTTAAGGTCCTAGGAATTAAACTTGTGACCTTAAAAAATTAATTTGTTTTTTAAAAATCTAAGAATTTTTTATAAGGTCTCAGGTTCAATTTTGATGACATTAAAAATTATATCATTATTTTCAACTAGTAGAGTTAATAACATACTAACAAAATATTAAAATAGAATTATATTGATAATTTGAGGATTGATATAGAATATTTTAAAATTTAAAGATCAATTTAAAATGCTATCATAATTTAAAATTTGACATAAGATATTTTAAAAATTAATAACCAATTTAAAATAATGATCCTAATTTAAAGATTTGTTATGCCATTATCTCTTGTTATGATTAGAAACAAGAAATTTCATATTAGTTTATCTTATAAAGGAATTGGTGAACCATATAAAATTTAAGTGAAAGTAGTTAATTTATGTACCATTTTAATGTACGTAACGCTTTGATAAATGTTGTAGCATGCGGATGAAACTCTACAAAGTACAGACTGAGTTATTGTGATGATACATTAATTAACCACGAAGATAAGGTCATTCTTCTTATGTGTAGTGACCCCAGGTAAAGGTATTAGTGTCTAAATCTTCCTTGTTAATTCCTAATGGCATTTCCCAATTAAACTTGTAAAGAAGACTAGCAAGGGCGAACTCGACAGCTGTAACTCCCATATACATTGCCGGACAAATCCTTATACTCGCGCCAAATGGTACAAGCTCAAAGTGTAGCCTTTTTTATCGATAGAGGGCAGTGCCTGTCAATCTTTCAGGACATAAACGTTTTTAGGTTTTTTTTCCAACCTTCAGGATTTTTTTTTATTATTTCCTTGCATTCCCATGTGCATAGCATTCGATAAACTGTACGTGAATTATTCATATAACATTTATTTACTTTTGTTTATTAAGTTAAACAAACGAATATGAATAAATATTTATATTCATTTAATAAAAAAATAAACATGAATATATGCGTGTTCATTTCATTTATGCTATTGAAAAAACTATTTTAAAAGCTCGTTTATCGGTTCATTTATAAGCTCGTTTATTCGGTTATTTTATTTTATTTTAAATATCTCGAAGATAGAGACTAAAATGGTATACTTTGAAGTTCAAATTATGAAATATAAAAAACTTAAGAACAGTGGTATAATTTTACTATTTTTTTATATAACTTACAAATAAAAGAAATATACTCACCAAGGGAACATGTTTGAAAACATTAGATGAGTCAAACATGAACATCTTAAAAAAAAAAAAATAAACACAAATACAACTGTATGTGCTGAAGTCCAGTTGATTTACAAATTACACCCTACGTTTCTCGTGGCACTAACAATGAGGTTGTTGTTTGCAATCTGAACGTATATTTTATCCTGGCTTCATCTCCATTTACAAAACCTTGTTTTTCCAGTCAAAATCCTCTTTAGCGATTTTTGCTGCAGAAACTAAAAGGGTTGGCCTGAATCCAAATCGCAAGGACACGAGAGGACATACTTTTGAGAGAGCTCCCAAAGAAAAACACGAGAGACTGAGTTATCAAACATCATGTAAGTAGCCAATGAAGGGAAGAACTGGCGAGCCAGGGGGAAGATGATTAAAATTGATTTTTCCATACTTTTTAGGAGATTGAAGATGATAACCATACGAGGGACCGCAAAGGCATAGACGGTGGTCCGCGAGTATATCTCTCTGAGTGGTGCATGTAGATTTTGGACCTTTCAAATTTTAAAAACAAAAGCTTATTTGATACATTAATTATTCAATGCTGGAAAGATGGGAAACAAGAAGATTGAAGGGAAGATTTCTCATTTGAACTCTGTTGAGATTATGTTGGAATGCGCATATTTAGCAGATATGGCTGGAGCGAAATTGCACTCTTCCAACAAGTTATAAATGGCTTCAAAGAATCATTAAAATAAAGCTTACGGGTGTGTATACTAGCCTTGCAGATTCTTTAAGTGGTAGTCTATGTACCACTTTGGGTATATGTTAGTGGCATAAATACTGTTTTAGACGGTTGATTGGGCATAATTGGGAAAGATGTGGAAAGTTTACCTTTCTATTGTTTAAAAAAATGAAGAAGAATAGGCGTAGGCTCTTATTCCCGATGCGTATATGTTAGTGGCATAAAACCGTTGTACCTAAAATGCCCCCACAGTTGAAATAAATTCTCCAACTATAGGTGGTGCCCTTTTTCCCCGCTTTTGAATCCAACTCCGACTAATCACACGCTACCAAATGACTCCAATGGATCCAAGAAAAGGGAAGGGGAGAAAATGTTGTTTTACTGGTAAAAGAGTTGTTAAATTGGTTGGTGTAATCTACGCCGTCGTTTTGAGAAAGATTGGAGACCATGCACTTAATTAAATTATGCACTTAATTCTAATGCTTTACACATTAACACAATTTACATGTTCTAAAAACGTTAAATATTAACCTTTTAGTGAACCAACGAAACTAGTTCGGGCCACCCTCAGGGCTATAAGTGCTTCTTTTTATATAAAAAGGCAAAAATAGTTGGTATATCATGCGATATATGCATATCTAATAGAGTAGTTGTTACTATAGCTTTATGTTTGCTCAGCTAATTTGTTGTTAATATTGTTATTTACAATGTCATTGAGGATGCATGCAGTGAAATTCAAAGACATATGCAAGCGAGGGTTCTTATTTGTTTTTATCGATTTGTGGTTTGGGGGATGCACCCTACCTACCTGCTCGTGGACCCATGAATGGATGAGCTCTTTTATCAGGATTGATTTATTTTGTCACATTTAAAAGCATTAACGTGGATGGTTAGTTATTAAGTGGGTTTAATTAGGGTCAATGAGTTTGGTTTTGGGAAATTAAAAGGAATGATGGGGCATCCCCCGCACGTGGGGATTGGTCAGAATACAAAATGGAGTTCTCAAATTTTATTTATTTATTTATGTTTGAGGTAAGAAAGCATCTTTTAATTGACTCAACAACTAGTTTTAGAAACAAACACCAATGCATGTGGTGTGTTTAGACATAGATCATCGGTGTGAACAACTGGATTAAACTTGTATTATAAATATATTTACAGACAGAGAAAGACTATTAGAATAAGCATATATATCGGTAAATGCTCATTTTTAACTTGTAATGCAATCTTTTTAACAATGATTAAAAAAATTTCAAGATATCAATCTTGTGTTTTGTCCAGTAACATTGATAAAAAAAAAAGCAATTATAAATTGGCTTTTAAATTAATGACGCTCACATCAACATTTATAGAGTTCAATGTATCAAAAGCAAAATATACATTGAAACAAAATTATGGGATTTGTCGTTTGTTTCACCATTATTATGCTACAAATATTTACGTAATCTTTATATAGTCAGCAAAGACATTTGGAAATTGGGATCTTACGTTGTTTTGCCAACCAGGCAACCATCTACAGCAGCAGACACTCTGCCTTGCCATAATCACACGCCTGAAGGTCACTTTTCTCACTCATTATTCTATAAAATTCTCCTTC